AAGTCAGTGGGGAAGCCAGCAGGAAGTTGCAAGCCCCAGGTGCTGCCAGGTGGGGGAGGGAGCATGGAGGTGCGTGGGAGGGTCAGGTGCGCAGGGATGCAGTGCAGGTCGGGTGTGCAATGGGCCCTCATGCACCCAATCTGCCCACATACCTCCTTGCTCCCTCCCCTACCCACTCCCTCCCCCATCCTCTGTAGCTGAAAATCCTGCTTGGATTTCGGCACTAACCTTTTTCAGGAAGCTTCCAAAGCTCTGTGCACTAAACACCCCAGAACTTTGGGGGCTACCTGAAAAAGCTTCATGCCAAAATCCTGCTTGGATTTTAGTACAGAACTTTTTCAGCCAGCCCTCAGAGATGAGAGGGAGTCCTCTCAGCAGGCAGCAGTGGCTTGAGACCTTCCCTGCCAGCTTCCCTATTGATTTCCTGGCAGACAGCACGGAAGACTGCAAATGGCAATCACATGATCGCGGGGCGCTTGGCAACCAGTTATAAGGGCAAACCAATTGCCGAGGTCCCAGATCACTGTAACTTTGGGTACAGGTTGTAAGTCCCTTCATTCAGCACCATCGTAACTAAATGAATGGTCGTTAAGCGAGGACTACCTGTAATATAATTTGAGATTCTTTTGTGTATTAAACATTTCACTGCCAATCCAATTTGCTTCTTTGCTTTTGCTTCTTAGCATGAGTCCTTCTTTTTTCCTCTTCCTTAACTACCCCATACTTTTTAGAAGCGGTTCCATCATAGTTGATTGCAAGTGTTACTTCCATCCTGCAAGGAATATCAGCAAAGACATGGTCAAAGATGTTTTTCAACGAGAGACCCGGAATGCCACCTCTCAGTGGCTGGGTAATAGATTCCAAATCAAGGGCTTCACTGTAGAAGGTATGAAATTTGGCACAAATTTGGTAAATGGCCTTTTAAGAAATCCATAATATTCCCTTTCCTGTCACTTATGTCATTTATTTAGTTAATTAGTTAATTATATTTTTAACACTCTTAGGGTCTTCCAGAAGCTTATAATAGCTTGGCTGCAAGCCTTTCCGACATGAGTGACAGAGCTGCCCCCACCAGGAATATTTGTTTGTTTACTATATTGGTATACTATTTGTTCCCAAAGGTTCTAGACAGCTAACAGTGAACAATTAACAACAACAACAAAAACCCTAAATATATATGGAACAAAAATCCATAAAAATGAGTGCCACAGACATCACCTGTATATTATAAAACGTAATACTTTTTTCTTCTGTGCCAATCAGAGGAAAATATTTACAAGTTTCCTAAAACACGGGAGGGAGGTTATATTAATTGTATTTTAAAATTATAATTATATACCTTATTTCTTTAATTGTATATTATCGTATTTTATGGTTATTATTGCATTGGTGGTAGTTTTTGTACACCATTTAGAGTTGCCTTGACTGAAGTGGTTTTTAAATTTACAAGTAAATAAATGTTTGTTGTATTTGTGCACTCCTCTTTATGCTGAAAGGTCTTGAAACAAATACTGAAGCAGTAACCTATAAGCCCCCGCACATGCTAAAGGTGAAGAGCTTCACTGTAAATTTCACCATTACCAACTTGCCATACAAGAAGGACATGAAGAATCCAAAATCAGATGTTTATCAGAAAGCCAAAGCGAGCATCGAGGATGAGGTAAATGGCTGAGAACATGGGATAACCTACAGAACATCTGCAGGATTCATTGATATTAAAGCCCCAAAATGTGTGCAGGTTTTCTTCCTAGAAGAACATACAGCAGTAGTTCTACGGTTTGGGAAAAAATGTTTTTTTTAACCCACTGTGCATTGGAACAATGCTAGAAATAATGTAATGATATAGCATAATAGAAAGCAATATAATTTTTTAAAAAGAGTGCCTTCACTTAAAAAAAATTGATGGACAACAAAAGTATCCCACCCCTGATCTTCTTTTTCTCTCCAAATCTTCAAGTGTGTTCCTTTCTGCTTCCAAGCAAAGACTTTAAAGTTAGAGGCTGTTTCAGAGGAGATATCACAATTACGATAAGACTGATTTTTGAAAGGAAAATTAAATGCACATATCTGTTAGTGCACATGCCCCTTGCTTTTAAAGAAATGCAAGAATATTTACGAAATGGAACTGTTCTGTTCTATTTTGAGCTTTTGAGAGAGGGGAGGAAGGAGAGCATCCAGTAAGTAGGTGAGAGGCTGGGTACAGACACAGGGAGGTGGCTGTCCACAAGTGGCACCACAAGTCTGCAGTGGTCAGTGAGAGGAGAGACCAGGTGCCCCCTGGTGGCTGGGAAGAACAGGTGGATCATATCAATACAGATGCAATGGAGGGAACATTGTCCAAAAGATGGGAGAGAACAAGAACACATGTGGTAGGGGGAACCTCTCTGCAGATGCTTCTCTCACAAATAATGGGGTTTTTTTTTGGTATCTTACCTTGAGAAAAAAGAGATACTGTACCAAAAGAGGCATCTATGGGGAGTCAAAAATCTCAAGATGGCAGAAGTGCAAAGCCCTGTTCCTTTTTTACATTCATTGTGCATGTGATACATGTAAAAGAGACAGGGCTTTGACTGCATGGTCATGGCTGACATCTTGATTTTTTTGACACCACCCCCCATGGAGGCCCCCGTAATGGTATATGGGAATGACCTTGGGAGACAGGGTGAAGAGACACAGCCAAGGGAATGGTCAGATAAAAGACAACTTAGCCTGCAGCAACAATGTGGCGGGGCAAGAGGCTTGGAAGAGACCCTCTGTACTTTCTTGGGCTGCAAGTAGGATGGGGGGAAGAGGTGTACTTTCAGACTTGCAAGACTGATACCAGCCTTGCGAGGTAGGCCAGACAGGAAACACAACCAGATGAGCTAATTCTACTTTATTGTAAGGTTACATTAGCAGAATCTTGCAAGTCTGAAAGTACATCTCTCCCTGTCACATCTTACTTGCAGCCCAAGAAAGTAGGGAGGGTCTCTTCTGAACCTCTTGCCCTGCCCACATTGTTGCTGCAGACTAAGTTGTCTTTTATCTGATCATTCCCTTGGCTATGTCTCTTCACCCTGTCTCCCAAGGTCATTCCCATATACCATTACAGCCCCTGGAAGCTAATCTTTATTCAGCATTGCTCCCTGTGCCAGGGTAGAGTTTCCTTCAACAGAACTTCCAAATCCACTTAACAGATAATAACAGAATAAGAGATTTAGTTATTCATTCGAAGGATAATGCTGCAGCTTTAACCAGCATGTTCCATAAAGCAGAATTAAGTATGGAAGTTTTCCATTCAACACTTCAAGGGAAAGCCTCAAGAGAAATAGGATTGATTCTTTCTTAACTCATTATAACTCCTGGTAACCCATTAATCCCTCTTCTTTTTTCTTGGAACAGCTCAACCAGCTATATCAACGCAGTGATCTGAAGATGAATTTTCTAGGCTGCTCTGTGAAAAACTTCAGGTGTGTTTTTAAACAGAATGCAAAGCTAATTGAGCTGTCCAGGTCCACATTCACAAACCCATATGCTGTTTTTGTTTGCTACTGCCACTACTATTCCAAAATTCTCATGAGATTTTTTTTTTTACATTGCCAAATAAAAATCTCAGATTTTTAACTTTTCAATCCCACTTGCTTAATATTTATCTTGGCTTGTATTTTTCTTTTTCAGATCCACTAGCCATGAAACTCAAACTGATGTCAGTTCTGTCTGCACATTTGCAATGGATTTTGGTTCAAGGACTTTTGACAAAGACCTTGTGTATGATATATTTAAAAACCTGACTCAGAATGCCTCCCTAATGGGGAAATACAGCCTGGACAATAGCAGCATAAACGTTAATGGTAAGATGTGGGAAGCACAAGGTATATTTGACAGGGGTAGATGTTATAAATTAGAAAAGGAGAGACAAAGCTAAGTGAGAATCTTAGACTCTGCCAGGGGTTTCTGGGACAGGGGTGGGTGTAAAAAAAATCAAGATGGCAGCCACCACCATGCAACTGAAGCATCACACATGTAAAAAGGGGATGGAGCTTCAACTGCATGGTGGTGGCTGCCATCTTGACTTGTTTGACCCCTGCAGACCTCCCTGGACTCTGCCTATCTTTCCCCCTTTCCATATTTAATGGAATTCTTCCTTCCCTCCCATTTTTTTCCAGGACACCCTTCAGCCATGGCAACAGAACCCTCCAAACAAGGTAATTAGGACCTTTTGACCCAAGATATTTTGGCTTCAGATTTCAGAACCCTCATCCCTCCAGGCCAAGCTGAAGAAATGTAGGATTGTTACTGCACCAGTTCCTGCAGAAAATGCTATAAGCTGAAACCAAATTGGAGGGCTGTTGCTTAGCTGTACCACCCAAGAAGAGAGCTAGGTGGAGCCCACAGGCCTGCTTCCTGATCAGATGCTATGAAGATAGCTGGTCTCATCATCAGAATCAGCATAGCCTGCTGTTTTCAAGAGGCCTATCCAAAGCATGCACATGGCCTGTGGAAATGGGCAGGGTGTAAATTTCATCAATAAATTCACGCATTTGCATTCTTTCTTCTTTTTCCAGAGCTCCCTTATTGGGCCATCATTCTCATATGCTTCTCCATCTTACTGGGTTCCATCTTTTCCCTTCTTCTGTGTTTCTTGGTATGTATGCACTGTACTTCAAGGCAGAGGGTTAATGAAGTGTCTCTAACATAAGGAATCCACAGTACTCTTCCAATAAATACCTGAAGAGTGTGTTTTCCCAGAAGAATTTTAATAATGGGAGCTAGGATGTGATGAAAGAGCTTCCTTCAAGCCATTTTCACATTGGGAGGCCTCTTAGGATGTTGCTGGAGGCAATTTTGGGAAAGAAGGATCCTAAAAGCAGTTAATGGAGCAATGGAAGGGGTCTTTCTGCTTTGCTTCTTCCTCTGATAAAGTCAGGTGGAATGGAGGCTGTTAACTCCTGTAGGGATGTCCACGCTGAGAGAGAAAGTGGATGAAAGGAGGAAGGCACTTCACTTGTATGTGCATAAAATGTATTTATTTCTGTCTTTAATCAGACTGCTGTCTGGGTGAAGAGGAGAGCAGGCAAGTATCAGATCCAACAGAGCATTTTCGGCTTCTATTTCCCACACTTGGACATGCGAAAATCATAGAGATGTGGATTTTGGAAACTTGACTCCTTCCCTGCAAGGGGACCTTTTTTGCACAGTTCCATTTTGCACATACTGTGCAGGAAACATATGTTTACCACAGCTGGAATGAATGCCTTGATGAAGAAGAGATACTGCATATTCTATGGAAGACTGCCAGATTGACAGTATGGGGTGCCCATCTTATTTATTTATTATGCATTGTGAAATTTGGAGTATCTTTTTAAATATCTACAAAAACTACAGATTAGATTATTTAAGTGCCAAAAAAGTTAGATTCTGCCTGGAGCATGGATCGGAATTTGCATTCTTTGAAACTGCACATAAACTGCATCAATGAACTCTATTGCACATAAAAAAATTAAAAAGAAAATATATATTCTTTTGCTCAATCAGTAAACATTACACTTGTTCTTGTTTTTGAAGCAGGGTTTTCTTCTTTCCAAGACAATGATGTTGAAATGGAAGACTTACAGTATTTCTATTTGAGCTCCAATTATAGCATACTGTACAGCAGTACCTGATTTCAAAATAATGTATCATGGGTAGAGATGATTTTCAATCCTTTTTTTAATGTTATTTCTTACAAATCAATAAATTTGAGCAAGAAAATGAAAAACAAAATGAAACCAAAACTATCAAGAATCTAAAATAACCTCTTTTTAAGAAAATCGCAGCATACATGATTATGAACTCAATTCTTAGAATACACAAGAAAGATGTCAGTGTGAGGAAATCAGCTTTATTTAGTCAGAAGTGACATAATTCCTTCTACATTAATTTTGCAGTTATATATAGCTAAAGTCTAGTTGCCACCAAAATGACAAAGTATTTATACTGATCTTATCTTCCCTCTTTTCAGCTCTTTCTAGCAGCAAAGTACCTTAGATGTGCGTGGGTGTTATTATTTTCTGCTTCTCATTCACTCAGAGGACTAGTTGATTATAAACAATTAAAACTTAACAATCAGCAGCTAGTATGGAATATGTTGGATCTGTTTAAAGGTCCAACTTACTGTGCTTCTTTACACAGTGATTATTTTCTCTTTCACCAAAGGGTCTCTTTTTTATCTTTTATAAACAGATAAATAATGGATTTACTTACTCAGTTAAATGGACCTGAGTTTAGTAGACTTCAGATGCAATGGAAAAAAATCTGTCCATATGCTATATGCTTCTGTATATCTGTAAAATCCTGATCATGATTTTGTACTTGTATAAAATTGCAAAATACGTATGCATAAAATCCCATTTCCATATTACATATTTGGAACACAACAGCTGAGTTGAAGTGAATTTCTAACATGCAAAGACAATGGCTGGATCCCCCTTATGTGCTGGACCAAAAATTTCCAAGCCCTATTTTAGCCTAGTCTAGTGAGTTATGGAAACACAGTCCACAGGTTCACTTAGTACTAAAACAACCCCGTACTATGATGTATGAGAAGACCATTTGCATTCCCAAGAAATGATACCATGAAAAGTTCATGGGTATGTGAAAAAAAGTGAATATGGGGGTTCCTGTCCTCCATACTGCTGGTCTTTTCAACACTGGATTATTTAGATAACTTAGATTTGTTTAAACTGAGAAGATCATGCCTTTCCCAAGGAATAACAAGAGAGCTTTTTAATGTATTTGTTCAGGTAGTCCTTGTTTAGTGACTGCCTCATTTAGTGACTGTTCACAGTTGTGATAGTGATGAAAATGTAACTTTATGACCAATCCTTACAACCTTAGCAGTTCTGTAAAGCAAAGGAAAGCTGAAGTAAGATCATAAGCACAGTCATGGATTCACTTAGCGACCACTTCCCTTAATGACCAAATTGCCAGTCCCAATAAAAGTGTGGTTGCTAAATGAGGACTACCTGTATAGCCTTCAAGTCAGCCTTGATTCCTGGTGACTGCCTGGACCACCCCCTGCAGTTTTATTGGCAATATTTTCCGAAGTGGTTTGCTACTGCCTTCTTCGTAGGCCTGAGAGAGGGACTGGCCCAAGTCACCGAGCTGGCTTTATGCCTAAGGCAGAGAATTCACCATCTCCTGATGTAATAAGGGAAAAGATGCCCTGAGGGTCAAATCAGTCTCTCCTCTGAGGTCCTTCAGTTCTGAAGTAACCATGCCTGTGGGTGAACAGTGACTGGAAAATTAGGTCTCCTTGCTTCCACCACCCTTCACTATAAACCGGTTTCTCCTTTCCCCACCAGCCCTCTGGAGAATTGAAGGGGAAATCCTCACCCTACCCTGGGCCTGGCTAAATACAGAAGGGGAAACCAGACAAAAACTTTGGGTGTCTAACTCAGTCAAGCTGAGAAGGGTGATAGAAGGCCACCAGTCAATTCCAGGATGGAAACAAAAAAATAAACTCTGTGAAAGATACCAAAAGAAAATAAGTTTCAACACACATACAACACACAGCTTAAAAAAAAAATGAAACAAACAAACAAAACACAATTCTAACTAAGACCAACTCCTCAGTTTCTAACCTTGCCTGAGGTAACACCCCCTCCCACCTTTCAGGACTCCAGCCAACTCTCTCACCAGAACTCTTCCCGCCAAAACCTGACAGAACCCCCTTCTTTTCTTCTACTGGCTGTCAGGGGTCAGGTGACTCCCTCTGGGCACAGAAGGCAGGCTTGTGACATAAAGGCCCAGCTGCTCCCCTACACCCCATTTCTACCCATGGAGCCTCCTGGGGAAAGCAGGTGGAGTCTCTCTCTCTCTCTCTCTCAAAATAGCCCTTTGGGGCCCAGTTTATATGATAGTTACAGTGACCATATTTTCTTGAAAAAAATAAAGGACAAACCTGAAAAGGGGGCAGATCTGAAAGAGGTTCATAAGGATAAAAAAAATAATTCTTTATGTTTATAACTTTGCTTTACAAGGGAAAATTCAAGAGCAAAACCAAGAAAAAAAATAATTAAAGGAATCTAAAGGACAGCTGTCTGGAATGAAGGACTGTCCTTCATTTTATTTTTTTATTAAATTTCTCCCCACCCATCATCCCCCAATGGGGGACTCTGGGCGGTTCACACAAATCTCCTTATGATAAAGGACATATGGTCACTAATGATAGTATGCTGTTAGCGCTATCAGTGTATATATTTGATGGGATAAATGGCTGACTGGGTTAAATGTGTAGAAATAGGGCCTCTGTGGGTATCTAGCTCTCCCTTAGGCATGCAAGCTGACTGGGTAACTTTGGGCCGCTCCCTCTCTCTCAACCCAACCCACCTCACAGGGTGGTTGTCGTGGGGAAAATAGGAGGCAGGAGTATTGTGTTCATTGCCTTGAGTTATATAAAAAGGGTGGGATAAAAATATGATGATGATGATGACGATGATGTCTGGCTGGAAGTAGTATGCTCCTAACATTCAGATATGCTTAAGCATACATGAAACCCAGAGGAAAGCTTGATTAGAGGTGCCCATAGAGGAAGAACCAGCAAGCCCATTTGCTCTAACCCAGCCTCATGTCACGTGAATGTAGCCCTAATATAGGGGAAATACTCTGAGGAGCAATTTCCAGCAGATCTTAAGGCACAGGGAAGCAGATATAAGAAGCCGCTGCCTTCCTTTTGCTCCAACCACTCATCAGTCAATTCTGATTTTGTGGTTACAGTAAAGCAATGGTCCTTAAAACTGACCGGGAGGGAAAAAAAAAAGTTTGAAATGTTGACATGAGGTGACAAAACTGGAAAAATGAATATGTGGGGTTCATAGGAAGCTCCTGCTGTAATAACAGCTAGCTGTGGTTTGAGTAGTGACTCAACAGATCCACCAGCAGGATCCCTTTGCCTTCAATTCCACTGTCTATAACCACAGCTGCTGCCAACTCTCCAACCACCAGGGGGAGCTTTAAAGGGTGATTTCCCCTCTCCCTCTTCGGATCTGGTAAGAAAAATAGAAACTTCTACTTCGGAATAGACAAAAACAGCTTTACTGTACTACATGAATTGCATTCAAATCATTACCCATATCCTCAATTCCCTGGGAAGCAGTTCCCAAAAGCTGCTCAATATGGTACTCTTTAGTTTTTCCAATTCTCCCTTGACTTGAATGCTTTGACTCTTATCTCCATCTATCTCTTTAAGTTGCCTTAGCATGCAAAGTTCCTGTTTCCTCTCATTCATTCCAATTAGAGACCTGTGTAACTAGGTTTTTAGCACCCACAGTAATTTTCTAGCTTCTCATTGCAAAGCCCTACCAGTTTGCCCCAGGTTCATTCATTTCCCAGCTTTACTGCAACTTTACATACATTTTTGGATGTTTGTGAACACTGATTTCAGCTTCATGCACATTTGCAAGAAAAGTTATCCTATATATTAATAGTGAATGCATTTTCCACATGCCAATCTCCATGTGCTAAGTACTAATAAGCTTAAGTGTGCACCAGAGAGAAACAAAACAAAATCTAAAGGACGTAATCTGCACTATGGGTTTGGAATTCTCTTGAATGATAATGGGGAAAGTGGAAAAAAAGTGGGAAGGATTTTGTAGAGATTTCATTCTGCCCGACATTTCTGGAGTTGATGGGCATGTAACAATAAGGACTTCCCCCAGTCTCTGGAAATACTACGAAAGTCAGCTTCAGTTGACAAGTAAACCATAGTTCTGTTCCCAAAATATTAACTGAGCCAATTGGAGCTAAGTGGATCATGAGAACTCCAAAATGGGGATAATTCCAGAAAGCTGTGAAGATCTGACTTTTCCCCCAGGCAGTGGGTCCAAGATATTAATGGAACTGATAATACATGGGACATGTTGCTAAGATATTTTAATTAATGTGTATGTTTTATCTTTTGTTTGCTGCCCAGAGTTCTATTGGTAGATGGGTAGCTATATAAAGTTGTTAAATAAATAATAAAGAAATGAGCCAGACAACTAACCCCAGGTTTAGATTTAGCCCTAAATTGACCCTGCCATGCATAGAATTATAGTATAGAATTGCAGGATGAAAATTTTAGTAGTTTTCATTATGATGTCTCTGCCCTAACATTTTAATGTGCTGAAGCAAGCAATCATGGTACAGATATAATATCCAAAATATATGAGCAGGAATCCCTAATGGGAACATAAACATTCTCAGAACAAACAGAAGCCTCTGTTTTGAAAGCTAGAGGAAAATCCTGTTTTATTTACACCTGAGACAAAGCTCCTGGCCACTCTTTAGAGGTGCAAATTCAGGAAGAACTAGCCAAGATTGAGGTGCTACCAGACTCTTGATTTTTTTGCCAAGATTGAGGTTTCTCTTCTCAAAGAAAGGAGAAATGGCCAGGGCAGGAAAAAGCTGAAGAAGAAGATGCAGCTGAGCTCAAACAGAGGGGAGGAGGGGGAAGAAAGGTTGCATTCAGTTCTCCAAGATCTCTGCCTTCTTTACAGGTAGAATTTTGCAACTTCAGTTATTTAACAGCCACAGTAACAAAAAGCTCACACTCCAACAACATTCTGTATCTTCTGCTGAAATTAGGAAAGCATGGAAAGAAACAGCATGAGTTGGTATAAGAAAAGACCGTTATATTCAGATCTAGAGTTGAAAACAAGTGCAGGTCTGTATTTTCCCTCTGTTTCTCTCATTGTGGAGTTGGCTTGATTTCTCATGATCTGGATTTACACAGTTCCCTAAATTAAGCTAAAATGGAATTGTGCAGTTCTCCATGTTGTGTGAAGTCATTCATGGTGTTACCTGCACTCATATAATTTCCAAACTGTAAGCCTGTTGTCCATAATTTCCTATCCAACATTTCTAAGTTTTCATAGAGATAAGGAGTCAGCAATACTGTCACTCTTGCCTAGCTGAAAAATCTGGTGAAAATTCTAATGTGATGTCATAGTTCTCCTTTATGTGTCTCAAGTGAAAGCAAGTGACTGCCATTTTAGTGCTGTAGAAGGAAGAAGGTGGGGTTTAAATGTTGTAAATCACAGTTTAATATAGTGGAAGGTAATTTAAGATCCATTTACAATGTCAGTCAAAGGTTCTAGGCCAACCACTCCAGAGCCTTTGCAAGAAACAAGCCCAGGATCCTCTCAATCAAAGAGTCCAGAGCAAAAGCTGGTAAGGCTGGGTCATACAAGTAAAGAGACCTCTTCCCCAGGATATGTGTTGGACCAGTTATCTCAATCATGGACATCATCAAAAAAAGAGGCCACCAGGAGGAGGTCACATTCTCCACATAAGGAGTGTTCAATTGTCAAGACAAGAGCAATTGTCATAGATACTGGTACAGGGACATGTAAAGCTGGCTTTGCAGGTCAGCAGATCCCTCAGTCAGTTATTGGGGCATTAGTTGGACAGCCCCTAGAAAAATTCATGAAGATTGGAAGTGATATACCAGACACATTCATTGGAGAGCAAGCTCGATTGGAACCTGATATTGATATCATTTTTCCAGTAAGGCATGGCATAATCATGGACTGGGAAGCAGCCGAAGCACTGTGGTGGTACATTTTCCAGCATGAACTCAAGGTTGCTCCAGAAGACCATGCACTTTTAATGTCTGATCCTCCCCTCTCACCAACTACAAACAGAGAGAAGTTAGTGGAAGTTGTTTTTGAGTCCCTCAATTTCCCCAAAGTGTATGTGGCATATCAGTCAGTACTGTCAGTGTATGCTCATGGAAAAATTAGTGGGTTGGTAGTAGATACAGGCCATGCTGTGACACACACTGTACCAGTCCATCAAGGATACAATTTGCCACATGCCACAGAAAAGATGGACATTGCTGGAGCCAATGTGACATCTTTTTTGATGGACCTCCTCAAAGACATGGGGCACTACGTTGATGAAAGAATGCTGGATGTGATTGATGATATCAAACAAAAATGCTGTTATGTTGCACTTGATTTTGAGACTGAGTGGAATTGCCCAGAGGTAGACAATACAGTGGAGTACCAGTTACCAGATGGCCAAATAATCACTTTAGGGAAGGAGAGATTCCAGTGCCCTGAGATGTTGTTCAATCCACCGCAGATGCCTGGACTTGCTCTTCTAGGCATCCATGGCATGGCTCAAAAAAGCTTAATGAAAGTCCCTGAACAAATCAGGAAAGAAATGTATGAAAATATAATGTTATGTGGAGGGTCGTCACTTTTTGAAGGATTTGAAAGGAGGTTTACTCAACATATTATCACTAACATGGAGACTAGCACAAAAATCAAAGTCACAGCTGTTCCACTGAGGCACTATTCTGTCTGGACAGGAGGTTCAATTCTTGCTTCCCTGAACAACTTCCAATCATGCTGGATCAGAAAGGAGCAATACCAAGAGTATGGACCATATGTTGTGCACAGGAAGTGCTACTGAGTTGGGCCCAGCCATGATAACTAGGAGCAAAATGTCTGGGAAGGGACCCATAATAAATCAATAACTTTGTATAGACTTGAAATGTGGCTTGTACTTATTGGCTGCAGATTTAAATCTAAGTCTCAGAATTAATACCTTGTCACTCCAAACTTTCCAGGGAACCAACCATTGTACTCTTTTTTTTTTCAAGAACTGCAGCTCCATACACTTATGAGGCATGACTATACTCATTTGTTATGGTTGGTTAGCATGCCGTCTTGTCATCCTAAAGTGTTCAGTGTGACTCTTGATCATCAAAAGTAACCAACTATTCTCCTACCTTAATGTCTAACAAGTTACCTGTCTTTAAGATTCCACAAGTATAATTGCTGTTGTTGTTGCAACAAACTAATATTGTTATTTCTCAGGAAGCTATTAATCATCTAAATTTAAATGACAAAAGATGTCTGTCAGCAAGCTTGAAGGAATCCAGAGTTTGTAGATGAAAATAACATCTTTAGGAGAAAAGACTCTTGTGTAACTTTTGCACTTTTCTGACTTTTGCATGCAGTGTGCTCCTATATATAAAATGTACCTTCAGGAAAGACGCATATCTTGGAAAAGTAATCTGCATATTATGGAGCGCCACCTGCAAAACTGTGGATTTTAAAGAAAGTTATGTACAAAAAAGGAAATAGTTTGGGAAAAGTTGTGTTCAATATGTGTGTTAGGGGAAATTACAAAAAATGCAGGTTTGATGTGTGGACAGTTAAAATGTATTAATAATTTTAATAATTATTATTAATAATTAATACATGCAAAACTCAGCAATCCTTGCTGTGGCGTGTTCTGAATCTACTGCAGACAAGCCTCGCAGCTCGCAAACAATAAAAACATGGCTAATCCTTTATACCTGGCATAAGGTTCCATTTCTCCATGTTTTAATGAAGAAATAGTGCTTCTTGAGGCATATTTGAGGAGAGCCAGTTTGGTGTAGTGGTTAAGGCACCAGGCTAGAAACCGGGAGACTGTGAGTCTGTCTCACCTTGAACATGAAGCCAGCTGGGTGACTTTGGACCAGTCACTCTCTTTCAACCCCTAGGAAGAAGGCAACAGTGAACCACTTCTGAAAAACCTTGCCAATAAAACTGCAGGGACTAGTCCAGGCAGTCACCAGGAGTCAAGACTGACTCAAAGGCACATCCCCCCACTGGAAAAAAAAACCCTGGAGAAAAGAAAATTTCAGTTGTGTTTATATTCCGCGGGTTTGCACATAATACTTCTTCCTCCAATTTTCTTCCCACAATAGGCTTGGCTGGGCTGAGAGACAGTGATTGGGCCAAAGCTGAGGATTTGTTTATTTATTTATCACATTTGTATAGCTTCCCACTTCACAAAAAGCGACTCTGGGCAGCATACAACAATCAAATAAAACCATACATACATAAAAACAATCATTATAAAAAATATAAAAAATCATTATTAAAAAGGAAAATATAAACATTTTAAAATATACAAACCACACAGAGAGAGCTAAAATATCAGCCACAATGGAGCCATCTCACAATGTTTCCAGTTCCCTCGGATCCCCAAGCCTAGTGACATAACCAGGTCTTAAGGGACTTCTGAAATGATAGGAGGGATAGAGCTAACCTGACCTTGGGGGGAAAGAATGTTCCATAAGGTGGGTGCCATGGCAGAGAAGGCCTGCCTCCAGGGACCCACCAAATGTAAGTCCATGGCAGAGGGTATCGCAACGTGCCTTCTCTGCTAGATTGAATGGGACTGGCTAATGTAATTGGGGAGAGACAGTCCCTCAGATAACCCAGTCCCATGCCATGAAGGGCTTTAAAGGTTAAAATCAGCACATTGAATTGGACCTGGAAGCAGACTGGCAGCCAATGCAGCTTGTGGAGCAGAGGTGTAACAAGTGCTCTTCTAGGAGCACACATAACTGTCCATGCTGCTGCATTCTGCACCAGTTGAAGTTTCCAGATACTCTTCAAGGGCAGCCCCATGTGGAATGCATTACAGTACTCCAATTGGGAGGTGACTAGGGCATGAGTGACTGTGAGCAGAGCCTCCTGATCCAGGAAGGGGCGCAAATGGTGCACAACACAAAGCTGTGCAAAGGTCCTCCCAGCCACTATTGCCACCTGCTCTTCAAGCAGGAGTCATGAGTCTAGGAGGACCCCCAGATTGCGCACCAAGTCTGTCTGGGGCAGTGCCACCCCATCCAGCACCAAAGATGGCATAGTCCTTGAACCAGTAGGCCCCAAAACCCAGAGCCACAGTCTCGCCAGTGTTCAGCTGAAGCCTGTTGTTCCCTATCCAGACCCTCATAGCTTCCAGGCACCGGGATAAGACATTCACAGTATTGCTTAATTCACCAGAGGCAGAGATGTTTAGTTGGGTATCATCAGCGTATTGATGATATCCCACCCCATGGCGACAGATGAGCTTACCAGCAGCCCCATAAAGATGTTAAATAGGAGAGGAGAGAGCACTGAACCCTGCAGCACTCCACATAGTAGGGGCCAAGGCCAGGACCTCTCCTCCCCAATCACCACCAACTGGAATTGACCCCAGAGAAAGGAGGCAAACCAGCACAACACCGTGTCGCCCACCCCCAATCCTCTGAGCCGATCCAGAAAGATACCATGATCAATGGTATTGAAAGCCACCAATAGGTCAAGTAAGGCAAGGATGGGCACAACCCCCATCCCGCCCACACCAGAGGTCATCCAAAAGTGCAACCAATGCCATTTCCATTCCATATCCGGGTCTGAATCCTGGCTGAAAAGGATCCAGATAATCCGCTTCATCTAAGGCTCTCTGAAGCTGTTGCGCAGCCACCTTCCCCACCACCTTCCCCAAAAAGGGGAGGTTAGATACTTGATGAAAATTGTCCAGTATGGTGGGTCCAGTGATGGCTTTTTGAGGAGGGGGTGAACCAAGACCTCTTTAAGAGGTAAAGGAACAATCCCCTCACTCAAAGAATTAACCATTGCTAGAACCCACTTACACAACAGCCCCCAGGGTGCTTTCACAAGCCAGAAGGGGCGTGGATCTAAAGAGCAGGTGGCTGAGCAAACAGTCCTAAGGACTGTCCACTTCCTCAAGTCCAACAGGTTCAAACCATTCCCAGATAACCAGGGGAGACTCCACTCCAGGCATCTCCTCTGGACCACAAGAAGGCCAGCATCCAACTGCAAGCGAATCCAAGTGATTTTGTCTGACAGATGCTGAGCAAATTCCTCCACATGCCCCTGCAAAAGGTCCCCTGAGCTCTCTCTACCCAAGAGGGCTCATGTCACCTGAAACAGAGCTGCAGGGCGGCAATCTGCAGACTGAATAAGGAATGATGGCACTAGAGAATCCCGTGAAAATCAGGGCATGATCTGACTGTGACAAGGGAGACACCAAGAGCTCCCCCAATTTCATATCACATAGCTACTGTTCTGACAGGAACACCAGATCTGGAGTGTGATCACTGTCCCGTGTCAGACTTTGGATGACCTGGGATAGGCCCATGGCTGTCAGGGTGGCCATGAACTCCCAAGCCACCTCAGACCCCACTCCTAGAGAAGACAGATTGAAGTCCCCCAGAACCATAAGTCTGGGGTACTCCACCACCAGCCCAGGTAGGGAGGTTGCTATGCAGCAAGGAGGTTGGTACAACAGCAACAATCCCAAATGATCCCTAGAGCTGAACTTAATGAACAGGGTCTCACATCTGGTGACCTGTGGTACAGTGCCCCTGAAAGCCGTGATTCCCAGATGACAATCACCAAACACCCCCACCCCTGGCCCAGAGTCTTGGCTGATGCCACACCCAAAGCCCCACCGGGCATATTTCTGAACAGGCTACCCCCCCCCCCCCACCCACCCCGGTCCCATAAAAACATGCCAGGGCAGCCCTCTCATCAGTGATTAAATCCTAGAGAAGACAGATTGAAGCCCCCAGA